AGAATTAAACTATTTTTTAGTTGAATCGAACTGGATTAGTTTTTTCTGGTTTAGTTTTTGAACAGAATTGTTTATAAGTCAGTTAAGAACTGTACTGGTTTTAAAACTAGTTTTGAACCTTGGTATCTTACCAACTGGTTTTGAAACTACTCTTTGTTCGTATTTTCAAACTGGTTTGTATAACACCTCACAATTTTAAATCAAGTAATTAAAATATCAAGTGAGAAATCAAGTGATGGATTAGTGAAAATCCTAAAGATTAGGCCAAAATACAAAGAAAGGGCAAAATGGTAATTAGCCAACACGCAACCCTAGGTAGATAAAAATTGAGTAGAAGGTCTCTGATGATAAAATAACCCTGGAAATGGATTCAGAACGAAAAATTGAGTGGACAGGCAAGTTTCAGGAAAATCAGTGAATAGTGTTTTTCGCGGGTAAAAATACCGCGTTACGATTGCACCGTAAAACGTGACAGTTGAATTTTGAGCTCTAGGTTTCAAATATGAGTTATAAATGGTTTGTTGAGTTAGGAAATATGATTTGATGAAATTTGATGGAATTGAGTCATTTTGAGAAAAATTGATGAATAGTGATTTTCCGGTGTAAAAATACTGCGGTATAATTGTACCGATAAGCGTGAAAATTTTATCAGTATTTTTGGGAAACAAAAATATGACATGAACAAGAAAAATACGTAGGTCATGAATTTGTGATTGAAATTAGATGATTGATTAAAGTTAAAACGCATGTGGGACACGCCTGTGACTTAAGTGAGTCAAACTCACCTTTTTTCACACTTTCTCTCTCCTCCCTCTCTTCCTCCCCGCGACAGCAGCCCCTTCCCCCTTCCTCTTTATGCAAATTTTTCTTTGGATCATAACTCACTCAAATCTCAACCAAATCCAACGATTTTTGTCTTGAAACTTGTTGGAAAACACCTCCTAAACACATTGGTACCACTCTTGAGCCTTGAAATCGCGTGTGTGAGGAGATCTTGGCCATTTACAGCCGCGGTTTTGAGGAGAAAAATTGTGTTCTTGAAGCTTCCAAGTGCTCCAATGGTGGAGTATAGTTAGGAGGAGTCTTATACCTTCCGTTTGGGTAAGTGTTCTTGCATTTTAAACGATTGATTGTGATGAATTGATTTTGTGACCTAAAGCTTTGATTGATGATATGTTGTGTTAGAGAGCTCAATTTGAAAATGTGTATTAGATGATAATGTGTTAGAATGATGTATTAAAGCTAGAAATGCGATGAAATTTATTGGTGAAAATTGATGAATGTAACTTAGAAAAATTTGATGATCATGATTTTGGACTTGTGAATCTTGGTGTTGAGACTTGTTTGATAAATTGTGGCATGATGATATGATGATATAATAGGTTGTATGAGGGTTGGAATGATTAAAATTGAATGGAAATCCCTTGGAATGTCATAGGGCAAGATTCAAACCTTTGAGGAAAAATTGAGGAATTGATGTTGAAAAATGAATTGGATGATGATTTGTGTAGTTATATAGTGCTTAGATGGGTTGTGTTGTGATTGGCAAGTGTTTGAATCAATGAGAAAATTAAATTGTGTTTAGAGACCTAAATGAGCCCAAAGTGAAATATTTCGCAAAACGATGCGTAAATGTCGTAAAATGAAAAAAACGACGGTTGAACTAGCCTCTAAACAACCTAAGGGAGTGTAATAAAATGAGAAAGAAAATTTAGAAAAATAAATCCCCAATTAACACCTATATGGCCGAACCTCCAAGGGAAAAAGGGGAGATTTTGCGGTTTTCGCGTTCTGATGTAATCCGACGCGAAAATGACGAACCAGCACTTGAATTGGCCTATTGACAACCTAATGAGATGTAACAAAATGAGAAAGAAAATTTAGAAAAATAAATCTCAAATTTACACTTCATTGGCCGAACCATCAAGGGAGGATGGGGAGGATTTTTGTGATTTTGCATTTTGATGCTATTTGACGCGTACTGATGGATGTACGTAATTGTATAGGTTGCCGTACGTTGACTTGAATCCCGAATCTTGATTCAGTGAGTTTCCATTGGTCTTGGACCAAGTGGATTGAGGTAAGTAATTGGTTCAATGCATGTGTAATTGTAAAGTAGCATGTATTGTTTGAATTGTGAGTGATTAGAAATATCCTCTGTGTAGGCATTCTGCTGTGTACCAAGTTGAGGGATAAGCTGCTGCGGAGCTTGTGGAAACAATATTTCAGGTAACCTCTTGGTACTGGGGCTTGTTCCCCTTTTCTGTTCCACCTTGCCAGTTGATGGCAACGGTAGGAAGTGTGTATGAATAGTATAGAACACATGAGCATGCATGCATTATTGCTATGGGTACTGCAGTACCGAGTCTCTGGCCAGTAGACAGTTTTATTAGCCTTCGGGCATTTTCGGACTTCCGCTGGATAGGTCTCCAGGAGGGAGTTCCAGTTGACTGCGTGTCATGGTGTGTGATCCGGGTAGGAGCACACTAGGAATGTCTTTGGCGTTTTGGTTGGTTTGGGCATCATGGTTGTGGTTTCTGTGAACACACCTTGGATGATACCCATAGGCTTATATATGCCCAGGGCGTACGTAGAATTGGGGTTACCATCCCGTATCGTCGTAGTTTGTTTCTTTATATTTCCCACTTCTCTAAATCTCTTGCTATATCCCGTTTTCAAAATGGTTGTTTTATTCTATTGATATGCATCGAAGTGAACCATTGGGTGGAGTTTTCTCCAGAACCTCTTGGTTACTTAGATATATTCGTATATCTCACCCCGTCTCGGGGCATTTATTTCAGGATGTACCTGTAGCGTTGGAGCAGCGGGCAAGAGGCCCGCAGGGTGATAGAGGAACATTTTCAGTATTTGGCATATTGTTCATGTTGGCATGCCTAGGTCTAGTAGTTTGTATCATTTAAATTTATGTCTAAATTTGTAATTGGTGTTGTAATATTGTAAAAGGCAATTTGAAGTTAAAGTCGTAAGTTGTAATATTTAAGTGTATGTTGTAAATGTAAGAGAGACATGATGTACCAAGATGGAAGGATTTTAGGCCTATGTTAGAGTTATGATTACATGATTATATTGTGAAACTACATGTGAATGGGACCTATGTGATTGAAACAAGTAAGAAATATAATGTGAGCTCTAGTGTATAAACTGTGTAATAACTATAAACTGGATTGGGTTGTAAGTGCCCCAAAGCGTTGTTGGTCCTTGTGTGTGCCACCCATTGGATTATTACTGTATTATCATGTGTTTATTAGGTACATTTGAGGTTTAAATGATCGTTTACAATTTTGGGATTATTGGAAAAACAAAGGAAACTCTGGCGAAATTTCTGTAGAATTGGCAGATTTTAGGCGAACTTCGGGAGAACATATCTCCCTCCATAGAGGTCCAATAGGGACGTGCCATACGCCATTTTGAAGGTTGAGATGTCCTCTACCTTGTGTCAAAATTTGAGGAAATTCTGGGTTGATCTTCGGCCTGAAAAAAATAGAGAAACACGGACTGCTCATGTGCCCCTGCACCTGAGGCAGATTCTGGACCGGATTTGGGAAATTAATTCCCGCTTCGTTTCTCAGTCAAATTGAGCGTGTGATATATAAAAATGAAGTTTGAGATGTCTAGTTTGTAGGATAAAAATTTGAGAGCAAATGGTTGAATGGATTGAGTGCAGTAAATCGAGTAAGGTGAGTGGTTTGGAGCTGTTTTTGGGGTTGTTTGGCTATTTGCTGATCCAACTTCAAACGGCGATAACCGGAGCTAATGAGCTCCGAATTGAGCATATGATAGCTTTTTGAAAAGGGAATTAAGTAAGACAAAGATGTAATCCGAGAAGAAGGTTTGGTTGCGAGCGGTGTGGTCGCAGAAAAATTTAGAGTGAAACATGTCCGAATTGGTAAAAACGTAAAGTTTGGAAATTGGCTAAGTGAGTTTATGGGAACTCCTTAGTAACTTATAATAAGTAAAGTAAGTTATACAAATAGTTTAAATAAGTCTTCCGCAAGAGTTTACAGTTACGGTCACAGCTTTTAATTATTACGCCTTTTTATGTTTTAAATGCTCGCGTAATAATCGGAAAAAGTTTATTCGCATTTTTATAAATGAACTGCTGTGATTGTAACTGCGCTTAATATCATAATTAATGTTAACAATACCAGTGTACAACGGGCTGTTACAGTTTGGAACTAATTTTTCAATATGAAAATGGCATACAAACTTGCTAGAATCTACTTGTTCAATTTTTTCAATCCAAGACTATAACTCTCCACTTTTTACTTTAAAAGAATCAAATTCATGTTTATTAATACTTATTTTTACTTTATTTGATAATGGTCAAAGGAATTTTGTGATTTGATATTTAATTAACAGTATGATTGTATGTTATATATGTTAAAAAAATTAACAAATTTAATATGCAGCTATACATAAATTAAATGCTAGAGTAAATTGTGAAGTGAATATTGTATTATAACGGTTTAATTCAGTTGTGAACTATTTCACACCAGTTCAGAATTGGTTTGGAATCAAATTTTTTGAAATCAGTTCACGTTGGTTGAAGAACTGTTTTACAAAACCAATTGTTATGGGGCAGTTTTGGTGCAATTTTTAATTTAATGAAGTTCTTTTCGAATTTTCGCACACCTCTAATACTATATATTAACATTAGTTTCATTTAAAGCCAAATAGGAGGGGAACAATTAAAAAACTGATTTAGCATAATAAAATTAGAAGTTAGAAATTTTGATATATTCATGCATATAATTATTTTCTCCCGTACATATTTGGCTATAAGGATTCAAACTACACACTAAAAATAGGTTAATGAAATACAAATATGACTTATAGCAGTATACTACACACTAAAAATAGGTTAATGAAATACAAATATGACTTATATGTTTGGATCCTTTTAATTTTAAGCTAAAAGTTACTTATAAGCTAAAGCTAAAAAAAAGAACTTAAAAAAAGAAGCTAAAAACTGTTTGGAAATTACAAAAAGTTTTAACTTAAAAATTACTTAAAAGCACATATTTCAAGAAAATTATATCTCTCTCTATCTTTATCACTCTTCAATTAATAAAAAACACACAATTCAAGAAAAATAGATGAGAGCTTAAAAAAAAGCTCCTCCTAGGAGTTTTTAGTTTTCATCTTTTTTCTTCATTATAAAAAAAAGAGCTTTTCGTTATAAGAGCTTTTCCCAAAACCTATTTGGCCTAACTTATGCTTATAAGTAGCTTCTAGCTTAAAAAAGAGAGGATCCAAACAGGCACTAAGGACTGAGGACAACATTAAAACAATGGCTATAGATAAAAGAAAATTTAGCACAAAATACTCTTACATTTTTTATTTGTTACATGGACAGACATCTCTATCAAATTAACCAAGGTATTGCATCATATCTTCATCACCCTCTCAAACGGAGTTGTTCCTACAAAAAATTAGAATAAAAAAAAAGACAACAACTCGATTAGCATTGTGTAAGTTATAAATAGATATTAGTTATTTTTTTCCACAAAAATTGCATTTAAATCATAATATTTATGGGTACACAATAAGCAATGGATCATTATCTACTATAACAAAATAGGAGATATAAAAAACTTTACCTATTATTCTTGGACTTTGAATTTCATCTTCATTCTAGCAGCAAACATAGCTAGTGACACATACATCCAATCACACATGTTGTTCATGAACTGAAAGTAGGCATGTCTCCATGAAGTTTTTACCAATAAAGTTCCACAAACTGCCCAAAATCCAACACAAAATCCCAATCCCAAGCTGATGTAAAACCCAAAGGTTATGAGCTCATCTTTGTCTTCATTAGTGCCATTTTGGCCACTGCTTCCAGATGGTGAAATCACATCCCCTAGGCAATGGTTTGTGAGTGGTGGGCCACAGAGCCCACTGTTCCCTTCGTATGTAGAGGCATCAAATGATTGTAATTGAGTGCTTACTGGAATTTTTCCTGACAAGTTATTAAAAGACAAGTTCATGTAACTAAGAAAACTCAAATTGGAAAAGCTTGATGGCATTCTACCATAGAGATGGTTTCTTGACAAGTCAAGTGATTCCAACATTTGCATATGACCAATGTTGTTGGGAATGAATCCCGTGAGATTATTTCCTGAAAGATTCAAGCCAACTAATGCCACAAGCATTGTTATACTTTGAGGTATCTCTCCTGTTAAGTGGTTGCAAGAAAGATCAATGCTTGTCATAAGCCCAAGAATTTTCCCATATTTTCTGTCTTTTCCTTTCCATGACAATGTTGCTTCGTCTATGAAAACAAAATAAATAGTATATTCAAAACCAGAATATTCATTTATGGTATAGAGAATGGTTTTTCTTGGAAACTTGGTATTTGACAAAGCAATTATATGACCGAGACATTGTGGTATTTCCCCTGTAAAATTGTTTTGTGAGAGATCCAATACTTGAAGAAATAAAAGATTACAAAGACTTGCAGGTATGTTTCCATGAAATTTGTTGGCCCGTAAACGCAAAACAATCAAATCATGCAAGTCATGGCCAACCCAAGTAGGTAATGCTCCTTCAAGATTGTTATCTCCAAAATCAAGTAATGTCAATTTGCTACAAAAGGCCAAAGATGGAATTTCACCGGAGAAGTTGTTGTTATTGAAATGCATCGACTGAATATATCGCAAAGTGCCAAATGAATGGGGTATTTTCCCTGAGAAATTATTGTTTGCCAAATTCAGAAATTCTAAGCTGTGAAATTCCCCCCAACAATCAGAAAGTGGCCCAGCTAGTAAGTTACTAGACAGGTCAAGAATAGTTAAATCTCGTGGTGGCATTGCACAAAATGAAGATAGGGACTCCGAAAACATATTATTTGAGAGAACTAGAATATTTATGCTTTCTGGAAAAGAAGGTAGGGAACCAATCAAGTTGTTGAAACTAAAATCCCATGCACGTGGAAATGTTGATTCCCTACTAATTGGTAGTGATTTTGGCAAGACTCCACTAAGTCTGTTATGTGAAACATTCAAGTACACCAATCCTGAAGATAGGTCCCAAAACCATTGAGGAAACAGATCTGAAATACCACTATTATAGATTTCTAGTGCCTTAAGTTCCCTTTGATGTTTGAGCCATGCCGGAAATTTAGGACCCAAAATGCATGATGATGCATATAATCTAGACAGTTGGAAAGGTGGAATCCAATTTGAACTCAAGTTGAACGAAATTGAATTGTGAGCCACATTCAAAACTCGTAAACTGTATAGATTTGACAGATGTGCTTCACTAATGTTGCCAATAAACTCATTTGTAGAGAGATACAATATCTTGAGACTAGAAAGTTGTCCAATAATATATGGAACTGTCCCGTTCAACCGATTATGGGAAAGATGCAATTCTGTTAACGAGGTTAGCTCTGTAACCTTGAATAACGGCAATGATCCACTCAGTTGGTTGAAACTGAGATCCAGATATGCAAGAAAAGGCAAGTGACCAAATGATTGTGGTAATGACCCAACAATATTGGTATTCCGAAGTGATAATGTTTGCAAGGATGAAAGCCATGAAAAATCAGGAAATTGACCACTTCTAAATGGGTTATCGCTGAGATCCAATAATTCTAAATTATTTTGTGAAGAACCTAAGTTTTGTATGTGGTCACTGAGTGGACCAGACAATTTGTTAGAATTCAGCCATAACTCTTTAAGTTGACCCAAATTTTGAAAGGATTGTGGTATGATACCCTCAAGTTCATTACCTGAGAGATAAAGATGAGTGAGGACTTTGCTAACATTAAGCATCCACGACAGAGTTGAAGAGTTTAATTCATTGTGTGCAAGACCAAGAGTTCCTAGAGAAGTGGAAGAATTCAGGTGGGGAATAGATTTAGGATTGACTTGACCCAGCCCACACCAATTTAAATAAAGCTCCAATAGAGATGGGATTTTGCTAATTGATGACAACAAATCAACAACTCCAAAAAGAGTAGTATTTGACAGATAAAGGTATCTCAAGTTAGAGAGGTGAGAAACCCATTCAAGGTCATTTGAAACCAAATCATTATAACTAAGGTCAAGAGTTTGCAAATTGGAAAGGTTCCCCAGAGTAGGAGGAATGACACCATCAAATTCATTATGTGCAAGGACAAGAGTTTGCAAATTGCAAAGGTTCCCCAGAGTAGGAGGAACGACACCAACAAATTCATTATATGAAAGGTCAAGAGTTTGCAATTTGGAAAGGTTCCCCATTGTGGGAGGAATGGCACTAACAAGTCTATTTCTTTCAAGATGCAACTCTATCAATTGACCAAGTGAACCAATGCAGTTTGGGATCTTTTCTTCCAAGTTATTAGAACTGAGATCTGTGGAAGTCAGATGTTGCAGTTCACAAATTGAAGAATCTAACTTACCTCCCAGTCCAGCGGAATAATCTGATAAGAATTGAAAATCCAAGATGGTTACGTGACCTGTTAAATTATCACATGAAATTCCTTCCCATGTACAGCAATCTTCACCTTGCCATGATGAAAGAAAGTCTGTTCCATGAATGAAACCATCTTTTAACTTGAGAAGAGCCTGCCTTTCTGTCTCCACACACTTCTTCACTTGAGAGGTTCCAACACAGAAACACATGCATAGAATGGCCACCACACAAAAGAGAATGAATCTAAAGCTTAACATGGTGATCAACTCGATTCCCTTGGGAATGTTTTTGTATATTATTAAAAGTGAAGGAATGTAAAGGCAAAGTGTAAACTGAATTCTAAAGTGAAACCTAGCTATCTTTTTATATCAATCGTGCTCATTTGTATCAAGTCAGTTAAACTTAGAAGAAGGGGCAAGACTTGAGGGCAATAAGGCAAAGTTTAATGCACGATAGCTCAAGTTAACTCAATTTGACCAAGGGACAAGACTTTAGTGCCATAAAGTTGTGTGCGATAACTCAAGTTAACTGAACATGAGGGAGGGGCAAGACTTATGAAGTGTTAAGTGATGTGACTAGAATTCTATCTCCCTCCTTTTTTTTTTTTTCTTTCAGTAATTGAAGGGTATCTCCACCCCCTTCGGGATGAGACTAATCCCAAATCGAGCACCGTAGAACCCTTGCGGGGGCGGCTCTACCTAATTCTTTTTTTTTCATACTCAGGACTCGAACTCGAGACCACTGATTAAGGGAACACAGCCTCCGAACCAAGTGTGCCAAAGAGTTTGGGTTATCTCCCTCCTTTTTCTATGTGGTATATTATTAATTCCTTTTATCTCCACACTCGTTAGGCGGGTTAAACAGAGAGTGATTATTTTATTTTTTTGTATTATTATTAACTCCTTTTGCTTATTAAAAAAAATAAACTTATAAATAAAAAGGCTTTCCATTATGACTTTGTAGTTTGCAGTATCTATGAGAATAGCCAGTACATGACGATAAGAGGGAAAAGATAGAAAAAGCAGGACATGTAAGATTAGCTTCAATATAGTCTTAGCAGATGCTAAATATGCAGAGTAGATCGCCTTGGTAATTCATTGGTTTGTATGCAATAGGAGGACATATCCAACATTATGAGAACATCCCCTGCCACTCAAAATCATTGTCAATTATACAAAAAAAAAAATGTTAAATAAAAAACACAATTTAATTTACAAACAATGTTCTATCGAATTGATGAGAGTTAGGAGCTTAATTGGTACTACCTACACAAAAGTAGGTATTTTTTTTGGGTTTTATAATTCTCATTTAATATATGAGAATTCAAATTTTCCTACACACCTTTCGATTTCCGTGCTGACATGGGTCCTACATATAATTTTTCTAACGCATGGGTCCCACATATAATTTTTCTAACACATGGATCCCACATGCTTTTTATCTCTACCACATGAGAATTGAATTCTCATTTAACATGAGAAAATCAAACCTCATTTTTTTATAGTATTTCTTTAAGAGATTTATAATTCTTCTGTTGCAGCAAACTTACAAATCTTCGACATAATTCACAAATATGGCCCACAAAGATTGGAAATAGAAAGTTTAATACAAGTGAGAGCCATTGCTTTTTGTGTCTTCCGGAGAAACACTGGTCTGCTGCTACCTAAGATATATATTACCCTTTCTTTAATCATAAAGATACAGGTACAATGATTATAACTATATAGATTAATTTTTTTTTTCAAACTTTAACAAATGATGAACTGAATTTTTAATATCAAGGGAATGCAGAATATATTTTAAAAAATTAAGATTTAAAAGAGAGAAGGATAAGGATAAGAAAGACAGCATTGTCACAGGCATCAAAACATGCTAATAAAGTTATATTCAGCAAGAATATAAAAAAGAAGAAATTATATTTAGCAACTCCAAAATAATATTTTGGGGTTTAGGAAAAAATATAGGGTATTTTAGAAATTCTAGTAAAATACACTGCATTTTTTTTCAAATCACAAAAACGAAATCGTATTTGAATTGCAAGAGATAACTTTTTCTGCTTTTATACGAAAAACATTAATCCATTTTTATATATTGTTAATATTTTCCTCAATTATGAGTCATAACCGCATTTAAATTACCATCGATAAATTGCATGTAATGACAAGAATCAAGAAGATGGAATGAAAAAATTAAGTTAATTCAGTTCTCCGATCAAATAAAATTTTTAATCTTATTTTGCAAATAAATCATCTAATGGAGTTAATTAAAACTCTAAATCCTATTCAAGATTGATTATTGATGAATTTGCTATCGGTTGCCTAGTCAACTAAACTTGAGCGATAGCTTAAGTCAACTAAACATGAGCACGGGGGTAAGACTTTAGTGCCCTAAAGCAGAGTGCGATAGCTTGAGTCAACTGAACTTTTGGAGGGGCAAGACTTTTGAAGTATTAAGTGATGTGACTAGAATTGTATCTACCTCCTTTTTCCATGTGGTATATTTTCTTTACCCTCTCTCCTTGGAGCAAAGTATATTGTTAACGGGTGTACGGAGGGCTGAGTAGTGGAAAGAAAAATGTTTCGGTTCGATCTTCATATATGATGGCGGACTCAAAAAATATTGTTCATATCTACATATTTAGTCGTGAAGGTTCGGTGGCACCATCCTCAAATTTTATTTTATTTTTGAAAAGTTTTAAATGCTAAGCAGATTCATGATAGGATGTGTTATGGATATGAATATCATATTCCAACTATCCATCTAAGAATCTATTAAGAGATAGATTCATGAGCATCTCAACAACTCTATAACAGTCAGAGGGCACAAGATAAGGATCACATCCCAACAGAAAGGGAGTTGAATCATACTGCAAGTGGGGGAGCTCTAAGGACCCAAGCCTAGGAAGGTAATCCTATAAATAAGAACTAAAGACTCCAGGTAAACACTTTTGACCTATTTACGAATATTGCCTACACTGTGCACACACCCACCCCCTTGGCTATAAGCCTATTGCTTGTACGCAGTGATTGGGACCTCGGCTATAAGCTTGGTATCAATCTGATATACACTATCTCTGAACGTATATCATACAATATAACAATACGGTCTATCCAGAACTTAACATGATGATTAGTTGAAATGGCTTTGTCTAATGTAGTGCTTGGGAATTCGTTAATAGCTATGTATGGGAAGCTTGGTCTTCTTGATTATTCTTTTGGTGTGATTCTGACCATGGAGCAGTTTCTTGTTATATCTTGGAACTCTTTGATCTGGGCCTGTCATAGAGCCGGACATCAAGAGCTGGTTCTAGATAAGTTCTATTAGTTGAGAGCTATGGAGTTATTATTAATATTATAAAATTCGAACCAGCAATTGATCAAATTAGGATACTGAGTCATTGGATTATTCGTTTAAGTAGTAGGTCACTGATTGAATCGCTTGAACCGAATAATTATATTCAAATTTATACTACATATTCAAAATAACCAAAAATACCACAACCTCACATAATTTAATAAATTTGTGTGTTGAATTTCAAATATTCAATATATTATTAATCAATAAGTTTCATAAAATAAATTTACCATTATAAATATAATATAAATTAATTTGTTGGAAAAAAAATTTACATGAAATTTATTGCATGATTATTTAAAAAACATGCATTAAAGCCATACATAAAGCAGAATAAATCTTTAATACGTTTATACATGTAATAATTAATTTTTTTATTTTCTAAAATTACTTTAAATCTTTTAAAAAAATTCTAAATTCAAAAAAAAAAAAAAGCAAAACATAGTGGATGGAGACATTGGAAAGAGGGTTCACCTTAGAGATAGAGCCAAAATGGTGGTGTCAACTTCCTGCTCAGTTGTCAACCCCTCTTGTATAGGAACGTGTGAGCCCCATAGATACTATTCCTCCTCCGTTCTCTGCATTGTAGCCGGAACACATCCCCTACCGCTCATTCCGGTCACCAATTGCACCCTTCTCTTCTACACAAAGAAGAAATTACTGAATATCAATAAACACACACCCTCCAAAAAAAATTTCTATCTTTTTCTTTCTCTCCCACATATGATGAGTGTGTCCTCTGATTTTTTTTTTTCAAAAGTTTGTGACCGCAATTACGGTCACTTGCGCTTAAGTAGGTCCGGCGCTACTCACATGTTATTTATTTTAGAAGAGTTTAAATTTTTTATCTCGTCCGCCCATATTTCAAATTAGTTTAATAACAAACTTAAAAAGTTGAAGTTTGTAGGAATATAACAAGAGCCTATCAGCCTCAAAAAGGTCATTATAACATGTTTCCAAAAAACAAAAAGTATATTATTAACTCCTTTTGGTTATTAAAAATAAAAATAAAAATAAAAAGACATTCAGTTATAACCTGTCAAGCACAAACACGTATTTTTTGAAAATTTTGCGTGTCGGACACGTATCCGATACGGACATGCTCCGATAAGCGTATGACATGCAGTCAATATTTGAGGACATACGGTCAACTTTCTGACACGTTTCGACACGTTTTTTCAACACGTAGTCAACTTTTTTCAACATGCAGTTAACTCTGACACGTTTTTTTTTAATCTTAATTTTATTTTATTAACTAAATATAGAAAATAATTTATAAATTAATATTTTTGTTATGAAATTTAACATGAAAAATTAACAAAGTAGAAAAAATTATTTTTATTTATACTTATGTTATAAAATTTAAATATTTGATTGGTTATATGATTTATTATGAACTCTTATATGTATTAAATATAAATTATATTATATATTAAAAATTTTATTTAATATTAAAACGTGTCCCAACGTGTTGAAATATGACATTTTTTAAAATTAACGTGTTGATATATTGTGTCGTGTCCCGCGTCTCATGTCGGTATCGGTTTGTTGTTTGCAGTATCTGTCAGGGTAGCCAATGACAATAACGGGGAAATAAAAAAAGCAAGACATGTAAGATTAACTTCAATATAGTCTGGGCATATGCTAAATATGCAGAGTAGATCGCCTTGGTAATTCATTGATTGGTATGAAATAGGAGGACACATCCATTATTACGAGAATATCCCCAGAGACGCAAAATCATTGTCAATTATACAAACAAACAAAAAAGTTAAATAAAAATCACAATTTAATTTACAAACAATGTCACATCGAATTGATGAGAATTAGGAGCTTAATTTGTACAACACAAGTAACCCCAAAGATCTTGGACCACTTGGGGTTGTTCCCTGACTTTTTGTTAAGACTAAGGTTGGTCTCCATCCACTAAAAAAAGGATTGACCGTAGCTTCTCAAATAGAAGTGGTTGGCTCCAAAGGAGGAGCAGACCGATTTAACCCAATAGCAATCTTTGAAAAT